GAGAGTAAAAAGCCAAAACCCCCTCCAAGGGAAGATAGACAGTGATGGCATACGTGAAGCAATACAAGCCAGGGAAAAGCTTCAAAAATACCATCGCCAATCCAGCATGCCCCCAGTTTAATAGGGGAACCAACGCAGTATTCGCAAAGCAGAGAGACATGCAAAACAAACCATTGTATTCGCAAATTTGAATTCAGAGTTTCACGGCACCAATGCTGTCTTGGGCAGTGTAGCCCTCTTTGGTGCAGGTTCGGGAAACCACAAACTACAGAAATGTTCAGGACATTTTAGGATGTCATCATCCCTGAAAAACCTGCAGTGCATTGCAGTATGCGCAGAAGTAGATTGTAGCGAAACCAAGTCCATAATGCCACTCATCCACAGAATAGGCAGGCTGCAGAATCACTCAATCCATCAACCAACTGACGAACCATGTGGCAGTCTTGTGCTCCTCGCGCTCCAGGCTGGCCTACAGGGAGCACCACTGGAATGCACCGGTGAAGCTCAGGACAGTCTGGTCCATGGCATCGGCCGGCTACCTACCGCCCCTCTCGGATAGATGCAGCTACCCATGTGTGTACCCAGCCAGAGGACATCCCAAGGAGACCCGAAAAAGACAAATGAATCAAAACCAAAGAAGAGAAAGCCACACAAATCAAAAAGAGAGGTCAAGTCAGCAAGAAAGGCAAGGCAAAAAGGCAGGCTCCAGGCGTCCCATTGGGAACTGGATCATAATCCTGATGAATACCTCAGTGTGGCCAAACTAAGCTCCCTGACATCACCTGCAAGCATTTGCAAGTGAATTTGGGACGTGATGTTATTATTGGTTTGAGTCGTTTTTCAACAACAAAAAGGAACCGATTTCTCTGCCAAACTGCGTTTGCATTTTTTCTGGAAGCTGCATGTCGTTTTACAACAACATTGTGGAGAAGAAGAATGTTTTTGGAAGTTGTGAGAAGTTTGAGATGTTTTTGGAACGTTTGTGGTGAATTCACCCCAATGAAATTGGACAACAGTTTGAGTGTGAATAGATGAGAATTTGTTTTTCATTTTCCGCTACCATTGCCAAGACGGCAAAGCTGAAACAAGAGCGACACAACACAGTGCATGTTTTTTTTGTGGTCGGCGCCCGTTGCCTTTCGGCGGGTCGCACTTGAGACTCCCGAGTGGACCAGCAGGGATTCGAACCTCCACCGGCAGTCTGTCAGCGCTGGCAAGACCAACGCCATACCAAATGAGCCATCGGGTCGCCTGACACAACACAGTGCATGGTGCATGTTTCGTTTTCCTGTGTGGAAAAGAGTTGAGTGAAAGCGGTTGTTTTGGGGTTTTTGTATTTCTTTAAACACTCGACGTGGCGGAGGCGACCCCATTGCGTGCGTTAGCGACTCGTGGTTGTAATCAGGTGTAGATTCAGTGTCACATCCATGAACATGAAATCCCTGCACATTTCATCCGGTGCTTCTGACATGTATCGGCCCGAGGGCCCTTGAGTCAGCTGGTTCGCAAAATGTGCCATGTGCGACTGCAGCAGCTCGCTTCGTCGAAACTCTGCTTTCAAACTGGTAGCGGAGCGACTCCTGCAAACAACGGCAATCGCTTTGCTGTCTCTGAGCTCCTATCTTTGGTGCTTGGGAGCGCTGGCCCTCCGGTATGGAAGTTTCAAGCCGTGGAGACGAAGGCACTTCCAGAATATGGTGGAGAAGTTCAGTCATGAGCTGACTGCCGTTTCGCTCTGGAGGCCTTGGAAAAGAAGGAGGCGCAGATCGCAGAAGGAGAGAGAAAGAAGTTGGGCTGACGGAACGATTGGTTGGACCTGCCTTGCAAGTGGCAAAGAAGGTTGGAGTGGAAAAACTATCCCAACCAGATGGTGTGAAGGTACTGCTGGAAGCTCTGGAGAAACAATTGCTTCCACTCAGGAAGCAAGCGGCCTTGGAGTTGTGTCGAGCTGGAATGCGCGAAGAGATCTTATCGAGGCAAACTGGTGAGCCGATGAGTTCATGCTGCCTACGTCGAGAAGCATGGTGGATGCAGCTTCGAGACATGGACCCGAGCATTCAGTGCAGCGATGCAATTCTGGGTGAGCAGTTGCTTCAACATGCAGGACTGGGCCGAGGACGGTGTGTCAAAATGACTTGAGTGACATGGACCGTTTGTCCAATACTCCAAGGGATCAGTTTGGGACACTCCATGAAAGGGAAACCAATCGGAGAAAAGGAAAGGGTAACAGGTCCAGTACTTTTGTGGCTATCGACTATTGACAGCCTTGCACGATAATTACAATTCACCTTTTGCTATGATCGAACGAGTGTAACGACCTGGCGAAAGCCATGAAGGCGTTGGACGGAAAAGGGAAAAGGAAAGGGTAAGTATGACACACTTTTTGCCCAACTACAACTCTGCTGCATATCCCTGATCTTGGCGAACATTGCCCAGACGTTTCGCTTGCTGAGATCCATCACGCTGCAGGAATTTGTTTTCCTCCCTTGTGTAACTAGGGGTCGGCATGGCATGTGCTATGGCAACTGGGAACTTTGTTTCACTGGTCTGTGATGCCATTCCTGCCCGCCCCCGTAGCAGGGGGGGGTGCCTGACATTGAGACCGCCACGACCTTCCTGCGCACATCGACTCTTCGTGACGACCCTGTCCATGGAGGCCTGCTGGACAAGCTGATCTGAGAGGACACTGAGAGAGGCATCAATTTATAGATCGTGCTCATGTACAGTTGTTAGCATTTCTATGTTTGAGCTGATAGGCTAGCAGGCCAGGCTTTCATGTCGGCGAGAATGTCGTGATCTCAATTCAGGTCGCATGTTTTTGATAGCGATGCAGTGGTCAAACCACTGTGTCCCTTGGCAGATTGATCTCGTGGGTGTTGTTTTTTGGGCTCCGGCCCCGTTGGTTTGTGTTTTGTTTGGTGTTTGGTTTGTTTTCCGCGTTCTCTGACGAAACGCAAGTCTGGCTGGGGGATTTGCGGGTCGTCATGTGTTGGTGGTTTTGTCTTTGTTGCCGCTGTGGTTTGATCTGCCAGCTCATGTGGACCAACTGTGTCCTTTGTACAAATTCTTTTCACTGCTTATGCTCATGTAAGGACCGAGCCTCAGTGCGACATCGGCCAAACTCGAGGAAAAAAAAGGAAAGGGTAAGTATGACTACTAACCCTGGTCTCAACGGACTGGCTATATGACGGACTTCGCAGATGACAACTCTCTGGAAGACTCCTCTCAAGCTGGCTACAACGCTGTGGAGACCTACCAGGATTCCTATGCCAACCACCGGGAGGATGACGAGACCTACGGTGACGATGATGCAGCATGGGAAGACGACCAGCGAGAGCGGGAGATCGAAGAAGAGGTCGTGATCTGGTATGCCAGCCAGAACATCGATGCGCAGACATGTGCGCAGGAAGACTTGGAGCTTGTGGTCGACGCTGTGGAGGTTGAAATTTCGGCCTACTACAACCGTATGCAGGCTGAACATCGTGGAGTCACCAGCCCGGCCAACAGTTCCAACTATGCTGGTGGATCATCGACTATGTCAAGCCAAGAACGTCAAGCCAAAGTTCTAGCTGCGAAGCAACGATCTCACTGTCGAGCATGCGGGCAACTTGGTCATGGCAACGTGGTCCAATTTGTCCCCAACGAGGTCGTGGAAAAGGATTTGGAAAGAAAGGCAAAGGAGGCAAGTTTGGGAAGGCCAAAGGTGACTATGGAAAGTCTCGTGGAAAAGGTGGAAAGAAGGACAAGCCAAGAGTGGTCTACTTCGCTGTGGGTGAGGCCAGTGGCAGTGGCGATGGACATTGCTACATGGTGCTTCATTCGAGCCTAGACGATCCTGGGACACCTACATCTGCAGAAGGACGCCTGGATGGACGCCTCGATGCAGAGCAGCAAGGAGCCTTGGAAGCCGAAGTGCAGCGTTTGATGCAGCTTTCGAGGGATGAGATTGACCGGAGACTTCAACAGGAGTTGGAATTCATGCCCCCGGTTTCGAAGGCTGAAGAGCCCTACACCTATGCCGAAGGCCATCATGCCACCATCTGACTTGGCTACATCATCTACTTCGAGGACACCTTTGACGGCTTCGAGTTTGTCATCGATGAGACCTCCCGTGCCACCTATGCCTACCAGAAGCAGTGGACCAATCCTTGAAAGTGAGCCTGGAGATCCAACACCTGGAGACAGAGGAGTGTGTGCCCACCGGAACACTACGAGAAGAGGAAGCAATCAGTACCTCACTATGGTGACCTGCAAGGACTGTGGACAACGACTTCAGATCGAGCGGCGTGAGCCGGACGCAGACAGGCCAATGACAGCTTTCACCCCTATGGAATGCCCTCATCCTACAGATCAAGTCTCGTGGAGAGGAAGCAATGGCTATGCCTGGAAATGGAGCTGCGCTGCTTGTGGAGCCAGTGATTCTGTGAAGAAGCAACCTGGCCAACCTCGTCCTACCTGGACAAGGATCTACGTCAGTGGTCATTGAGGCTGACGAGAACACCGGCTACAACATCAACAACGAGGCACAGGCCTGATGGATGAGTCTCTTTTTGTCAGTTCGGCAGAATGGGAGCAATTTTGTGGACTGCTTGGACGCATGGTGAACAATCACATCACCTTGCATGGAGCCATCACACAGGGCGAGTTCTTGCATGTGGTCAACGCCACCTTGCTGTGCTACAAGACTCTTGGATCGACCTTCACTCAGGCTATGACATCGATGCCAGTGGCAAAGGCATCACCAGGAGCAAGATCTACGACAAGTGCGGCAAGATCTACATCGAGCGTTGGAACTTTGAGGACTGAAGCCGGAGGAATCGGTGGATCCAACATGATCACCTTCGAACGCTACAAGGGCTACACTTTCACAGATGTCTACGAGATGGACGCTGGGTACGTGCAGTTTGCACTGGATGAGCGTGCAAAGGGATCTGCCTATTGCACCAACATGCAGAGGTTTCAGGACTACTGCATGCGGCGACGGGAATCAGAAGGCATCTCAGTGGCCTACATGGTGGACGATGAGTTCGCAGTGAGCGGACCGGAAGATGACGATGTGCTGATGTACTTGGACAGTGGTTGCAACTCCACATGCCACGGCCAGTACTGGATGGAGAAGTTTGAGGATGCCACCAACTATCGGCCACAATGGATGTCCCGAGAGCGCAAGAACCTGATCGGAATTGGCGGAGCTGCCTTGAGCTTGGGCATCAGGAAACTCTACATCGCCCTGGAAACTTTGGAAGGATACAATGTCCCCGGCATCATCACTTCGATTGAGATCGAGGGATCTCATGTCCCTCTTCTACTTTCACTTCAAGCTCAACAAGACCTCGGCATGGTGATCGACTTGGTGGAAGGCACTGTGAAGTCTCGGACCTTGGGATGCACCTTCAACGCAGTTCGAGGACGTCGCAACAGATTGATCGGACTTCGCTTGACCTCTGGTGACTTCATGGACGACGGTGCCACGATCCCAGTGAGTCTCATAGCAGAGGCTGATGATGGAGACCGAGAGATCGAGATCAATGGAGGAGGCATGCAAAGACCCTTGTGACTCATGAGGTGAAGAAGCTGCCGATGAAGAAGAGGCGCCACCGAGAACATCAACGATGTGCCCGAAGAGGAAGCCGACAGGAGTCAGCTCGTGGAAGTGCAGATCCACCGAGCTTTGAGACCTACAATGGCCTGGAGGACTGGACAGAGGATGACGTCTTTCCTCCAGCACCACAACCACTACTAGAGACGGAGGATGATGAGTTCGTCTATGTGGAGGTGGACGTGACGGATGATGAAGACGATGATGTCATCATCACCGAGGACAACCCAGAGAATGCCGAGTCCAAAGAGGAAGAGAATCCGGAGCGTCGAGATGAGTCGACTCAGGACATCATCAATGAGCTCGAGGCGCTGCCCGACGAGGTCTTCGACGCATTCCCGGACGAGCTCTTTTTACCTGGAGGTGGAGACGGAGATGGATCGCCGTCGAGCCCTACGTCTCAGCGACACCCTGAGGAGGACGAGGCAGACTGTTGGGAGCTGAAGGATGACCTGGTGATTCGACACCACTTCACACCCAGGAAGCAGTTCTTCAACCCGAAGGACGCTGAGCTGTCCCTTCCCATCGATCTGAACCGTCTCAGTTCAACCAGATGGACTTTTATGGAATACCTGGACAAGGAGGAGAAAGACACTGAGATCGATGAGTCGAAGGAAAAGCCATCAACTGAAGGACGAGATCGGGTGTGGGTTGGAACTACGGAATTCCGTGTCATCCCAATCGATGAGGAGTTGAAGACCCTGAGGATGTCTTGGGAAGATGGGCCTAAGAAGGTCATGAACAGAGGCCAGCGCAAGAAGATCCGCGCTGAGGTGCAGGACATTGAGAAGGAGGACTACGCCTTGTGGAGTGTTCTTGGACGTCAACGCCCAGCTATGCCACGTGGATGGAAAGCTCTTTTGGAGTTGTTCGCTGGTGCAGCGGTTTTGACCGCGACCTTTCAGGCTCAGGGCTGTGAGTGCTGCCAACCCTTGGACATCAGATCTGGATGGAATGTCTTCGACAACGAGCAGAGGAAGCAGGTTGAACACACCATCGAGCGGGCAAAGACGCCACCAGGTCAGTTCTCCGCGGACTGGGGCCTGCTAAAAGATCTGACCCTCTGGTGCTCCACTTGGCACTTGTGGTGGCCAAGTCTTGGGGCCACAATTTTGCCAGGGCTGACAGGCCTATTGATGCAGCGGCGATGATCATTTGTGGGGTGTACTTTATGACTCGTGAAATTGAGTTCTCAGGAGCCATTCAGCATGAACTGACCATACTTCCTGATGCTTCCAGTTGTCAGCTGCTACTGCCGGTTTCCAAGAAGGATCCCAATGCGTGCGGAGTGGTGGGAACAGTGGAATGCATGTGTGATCTGTTGCCTGTTTGTCCATCGTGCTACTTGCAAGGCTATCTGGAGCGATTGAGCCGTTTAGGCAAGGAGCTCAGCATCGATGTTGACCCCATGCCTTTGTTTCCAAACCCAGTCGGATGTGCGCTCACGAAGCGCCAGGTGAATGAAATGGTCAGAGACATTGTGAAAGGCTACATGCCTGGGGCTTCTAACGAGGCTCTATCCAGGGGTTCTCTGGACACTGCTTGTGTATTGCTGGCGCAAGACACTATTCAGAACTTGGCATGGACCCTCTGACCATTGCTATCCATGGCAGGTGGTCCAGCAACGCCATACTTACATATTTGGCAGAATTTCCTTTGCAATGCATGCGAGTACGGATGAAACCTCAACTTGATCCCAGACCAGACGAAGCAGACAAGCCTCTCTGGAAAGATCCGCAGCTTTTAGACGGACTGAGGGCTTTGGAAAATTGAATCAACCGAAAGAGGTTGAACCAATTACTGAGAGCCTGGGATATGTGACCAACATGATCAGCTCCATGGTTCAAAAACAGAAGCTGACGAATGGACAGCCTTGCAATTGGGCCACCAAATGTGGCTGGAAGTGGGCTGGAAAAAGAAATGTGCACTCATTGTTTTCATTTCCTGAGGACACCAAATATTTGAAATGGAAGAAATGTCCAAAGTGTTTCAACTTACGACGGGCAGATGAGAAACTTGGAAGTGATTGCGACTCCTCAGCATCAAGTAGTAGTGAATCTTCCACTTCGTCATCCAGGTAGGTGCTGAGTCATGGCAGCATGATTTTGAATTGCATCCTGGCCGTGTTTATCTCCTTACACCCAGGAAGCACTGGAAACCGATGCATCGACAAGTGGTCGACAAATCCCACAGATGCAACAGCTATTCGAGTCAGCAACAACTTGGAAAACATAAGCGCGGTTGGCTGGGGTTAGTGTGCGGTGATTGTTATGTGGAACATTTATGTGACAATGAACAATGAAGGCACGCGTTGTTGGGAGGTCTTGTGGCACCCTATCCATTTTGGCTTAAGATGGGGTGCCCAGGTTTGAATTTGTTTCCCAACCCCCTGATATCCCACCACAAAATAAATTCTGTATTTGCCAGCAGCACGATTTTGAATTGGATCATCCTGGGTGTGTTTATGTCCTTACACCCAGGAAGCACTGGCAACCGATGCTTCGACACGTGGTCGACAAATCCCACAGATAGCAACAATTTGGAAAACGCAAGGGTAGTTGGCTGGGGTTAGTGTGCGCTGATTGTTCAATAGGGATAGGGGGGAAACAGAAACCGATCCAGTGCGTTGTCACCAGCAGAGCAGGTCACAGATCCTATCCGAAAGATCTCCAGTGACATCATCACGGCACATCCGATTGTACAGACTTCGCCAAAGGAAACCGAACCTTTCCACTTGAATTTCCCCCGTCAAAAAAGGCAGCGCTGCAGTTCAGTGAAGCCGTCACCTTGATATAGGATGGTTGTCATACCTTGGTTTATTTCTGGGGTTCAATTAAGTACGGACAAAAAAAACATTTTTTTTCATCCATCTCTTCGTTGAGACGATTCACCGAATTTCTTGGGTTCTGACAAAAATACATGCCACCAGCATATAAATTGGAACATGGGAGGTTGTTGGCCATTTCATGGGTGAAATTTTGTTGGAACAACAAGATGTATTTCCTGAATTTTGAGGTGTTTCTATACAGTACCACCGTGTGCCCATCGTGATGGCTACAGCTAGTATCGAACATGTCAAATTACCAATGTCAAAAAAAATGGGGGTGAATTGTACAATTTCCCGTAGAACATTGTGATGTCGATGGTCATATTCAAAAAACATGTTGATTACACAAATTTTACCGCAAAATAACATGGAACCACAAGTTATGTCCGTAGAATTTGATGAAACTTGATCATTGCCTAGGGAACGCACTGGCCCAAAACATGGCAATAAGATCTCGACGAATTGCTTGCGCGCGTGTGGCCCAGTATTGTTTGCCAGACAGACTCCAAACATCTCCACACCAACATTTCGAAACAAATGGAATCCGTTTCACATGTTCAATGTTTTGTGTTTCTTTTGTGCAGATGCGGCTCTTGTCACAACTGAAAATTATGAATGCGGCGGGCCCAATGTCATAAACCCGAATAAACCCTATTTTGGAAGATATATTTACACCACATTATACCACCCATTTCTGGAAAGTCATTGTATGGCCTTGGATTCATTACATGATGTTGGGATTTTCCAAGGTACCGCGATTTTTGCAGAGCTGTTCAGACGACATTTGCTGCGGACCGTTTTGCACAGCAACAACTCAGGCAATGTGAAATGGGACTCGTGTATGTCAACCATTGTTTGTCTCATGTGTGGAAAAAACTGAATTCCGAGAAGATCACATCTCCTAAGTGCTGATCAACATTTTTTCATATATTTCCCATTATTTCCCCCACCTTTTCCATTTGGATAATACCTATTTGTGTTGGTTTCGCGCAGTTTTCCGATCAGATTCGACCATTGCAGGTTGGAAACTGCCCGCACCCTGCGGAAACATGTTTATCAAATGTCGGAAGATGCACTTGCCAGGAACTAAGTGTAACTAAGTGACACATCACGTGTGAATCAGATCATCTCAATTGCTTTCAATGATGCATTGGTTGACATGTTCCGATTGTTACCGATTCCATGGATTCCCATGGCAAAATGTTGATGATCTCACCAGGTTGCAGACCTGAAGTCAGGAACCGACATGATCAGATACGAAATCATTCAGGCACCTTGAATCCAAGGGATACAAGCAGGGGATTTGACATGATTTAACTGATTTTAACCGCACAAGTGCAGATGCAACATGACACAACATGACACAACATGAATCAACATGATATAACATGATATAACATGATATAACATGATACAGCATGATTGGCAACAATTTTCTCATACTTTCTGCATTTTTTCACTAAAAAGTCGCGAGGATTCGCGACTTGTTGCAGGCATCCCTGAATCCAGAGACGCAGAACTACCGAGCCCACATCAATCAGGACGAAATCAGTCGTTGCCAAATTGGGGAAGGCCTCATTTGAATTAGTGCGCCATGCACATCATTTCCATGCATTGGCCGCAGACTGTTTACTGCTTGTGTTCAGCTTGTTTTTCAAACGACTCTTGTGTAGAGTACTGGCAGCCATGGTACGATTCTTTTAAACTATCCAAAACGAGCTAGAAATAAATATGGTTTCCACTTAAACTCGGCCTTATTCTTTTCAATTGACAAGGGACTCGACACTGAATCGTAGAGCAACTCTATGATTTAGTCAAGCACTTAGCTTCTATGCTTCAATATTTCCGTGGCGTTTTGGAAAGACATCAGACTTGCGCTTTCTCAAAATTCCACAGTGGGGTTCAAACTCGTCGCAAAGCGCAACTTTCAGCAACAATGCCCAGTTCCAACTCCAAACCCGAAATGTCCATTTGTATTCATATGTTGCTGTGCCATATGTTGCTGTGCAATATGATGAAACACATTTCTTTTGTTCCCAGGGGTTCCCAATTTGAGACATATAGATTGTGGGATCTGCGGACAGTGATGCGATGTGCATGCCGTTTCTTCATGCCGCTATCAGTTTCAGGATCACATATCGAAAGGACGCGCTCGGGCCACAGAATGCGGAGAATGTCAAGATCGACATGACACGTTCGAAGAATCATTGGACATGGACTGTGATTCCTTTCCAGACGTGGCCCACAGTATTTGTTGCAGACTTTCTCGTCAAGCAACCTGTCCTGTGCAACATCATTGAATCCTTGTCTTGCTAAATCGAAAGACGTTGAGATGAACATTCAACACTCCCAGTTTTGTGGACGTGGCTGAACTCGCCGAGGTACTTGACCTCCTAGGACCCGATGAGATGCTGAAGCAGAAGCCGTGAACGAAAAATTGGCAGTGGCTTTGTCCGATTTGTTCATTTGAATGGAGGATTCCGCATGATTTATCCTCAGTTAACGGCAATTTTTAATGTCGTGGGATCTGACATGTTAAACGTGGTCCTGGGGTATCGTGGTTGTTGAACCATAATTTCCGGGCTATTTTGGTAATTCAGTCATGCCTTACTAAGGGTATGACATCATCGTGGTTTGTGGTTTCAACAATTTTCTATGTCCATCCTTGCCGAGCATGAACTAATTGGCTAATATTGTCAGGGATTGCCTGAAACCAGCAGTCATAGTGATCACTTGAGCCGATTGGCGCATCCAGCTGTGGGAAGGTTCTCCGCTGGAAGTTTTTTTTGCCTTCAAAAAATGGTTGACCATGACCACATTAAACACATTAAACCATACCAGTTGGTTCCAGCTGGGAAAAAACGGGGCACACATATATGTCATACACAACACACTAATATTGGACACATCATTTTTCATCACCATGGCGCGGTTTGGATGACTCGCCATGGCGCTGCCAGAAATTCATCGAGGCTGGGGACGACTGGGGACGACTGGGGACGATCAATGACTATCACAAGCGGTGGATTTGTGTCCAATTTCTTGACGATCCCAATATCTAGGCGTTTCTGGTGCTAAAAACGCTTCCACTATTTGCATCCTCTTTGGAAACAGGGACACTGCAGCATTTCTGATGATTTTCGATGCCATTTTGAAGGGGTTTTAAAATCGATCCAAGAGTCTATTGAAAGTCTATTTGATGTTTCCATTGTTTCCATACGTTTCTTGATACAAATCCACAAGAATTCAATACCGATTTTGGAGACTCTGCTGAGGCCGAGAGAAGGCAGACAAGGCAGGGAGTTCAATGGATGTATTCCTTGCGGGATGGAACAAATCAAACTCGTGGAAACCCAACGGTGTGGCACGGTGAGTGTTCCTTGATGGATACATTCATACAATTTCATACATCCATACATTGATACATGGTATTTCAAAATTTCATAGAATGTCAGAGCTAGAGACCGTTGGAGTCTCGGATTCGCCATAGAATTTTGGTGTATCTACTTGGGTTTCGTGTGGTCGGTGTGTGAAGAAGTGCCTGGTCTGAGGATGATTGTCGATCCAAGTAGAGATGATCGCGGTGTGATGCAGTGACAAGAGGAAAGCCACGTATGGACATGACGACAAGCCACAACAGGAAAGTCTTTGGATGGGCCACACAGTTTTCCAAATGGTTATGACGTTATGACGCTGACAGCACTTGGTGGGGCTCAGTTCCTTCGAGAGGTCTATGATGTGACATTTTCCGGAGGCCGACGAGAAAATCGAGAAATGGACCAGAATCATCCAAAATCAACGGATTGGAAATTCCTATAAATTCTTGGAACGTGTATATATATATGTATTATTGGCATTTTTTGTGAGTTGCTGCTATATTTTGGTACTATTGGTGTATATTTTGGAAACACTTAATATTCCTGTAACAAATCGGATCCTCTCCTCATCGCGCTGTACGTTGTGCAGGAGAAGCACGGCAGAACCTCTGGAAGAAGGTGTGAACATGGTGTCAACATCAGCTGGGCATGACTTTGATTAATGAGGGTTAACAATATACATATAGAGTGACATGTGACTCGTTTGAAATGAGAAATGAGATAGGAACATACACATCACAATCACTCGCAATCATAATCATAATATATTAGAATACATGAGGAGAATACACAGTTGTAATAAATGTGATCTATGAGTACTAGTGTGGTAAACCCAAGGCAATAAACAATCCCAATTGAAGGGTAGATGAAATTTGGTACATACCTTGAGCATCGGGATGATTCTTTTTATGACTCTCTTTTATGGTTGGTTACTCAGATGGTTTATTTTTGGGTTGACCCCATGGGCAATCACATGCCGTTCTTTTTGTCCATAGTAAATCATCAAACATATGGGAGTATCAGGATAAGTACATAATTGGGCTGGTTGTAGAACCAGCACTATGAGAGTCGGGTTAGTCAACGGTGGAGCCCCCAATTTATGTATGGCCATGGCCATGAAATCGGAATTCCTGGTGATGTTTACCATGGGATTTGGGGTCCAAATCATTTCAGACAAAGCCATGTCATTTGGTTGTTTTTGTGGCACCCCAATGTCGATTGATTGATACCAATTTTTGAACTTGTTGGAAGTTGCGATTGCTGGAATTGAAAGATTGCAACTAAACTAAAACCACGTCCCTTCAATAAATTGTTGACAGTTTTGAAATAGCTTCGTTGCATTTCGTTGCATGTTCGATGAGTCGTTGAGCCCCTGCCATTGCAGGTCATTCCTGATGCCAAGAAGGTGGAAAAGGTCGAGAAGGTGAACGACGTGAAGGCGCGTCAAGACATGGAAATCGACAGAACACCTGAATTTTTATAGTGCTTTACTAACTTTACTATGGTGCTGAATTAGTGCATTACTGTTATAGTGACTCCCAGAATTGGTGCTGAAGGGAACATGCATGGTTTTCCCCCATATTGAGTCGTAAAAACCCAGGGGTTTCCTAAAAATTTTCTCAAATAAACCAACATGACAAACTTGAGAGATGAAAAATTAAAGGACCGGATAACCCCACAAGTCAACTTCTTCCAACAATGAACAACAAATGTTGTAGCGGGGACGGGGAAGGAAGGAAAGACAAAGGAGGTGGTGGAGGATCGAGAAGTAAAACAAGTTGTATATGAAGAGTTGTGTGTGACAAAGTTGTATGTGAAAGATGGTGTGTGACAAAGACAAATAGTGTGTGTGACAAAGTTGTGTGTGTGTGAAAGATGGTGTGTGACAAAGTTGTGTGTGCACGTGTGCGTGAAAGATGGTGCGTGTGAAAGTTGTGTGTGCAAGAGAGCGTGTGACAAAGGTGTGTGTGAAAGATGGTGTGTGACAAAGTGGTGTGATGGTGTGTGACAAAGTTGTGTGTGAAAGATGGTGTGGTGAAAGATGGTGTGTGACAAGGTTGTGTGTGAAAGATGGTGTGTGACAAAGTGGGTGTGTGACAAAGTTGTGTGTGAAAGATGGTTTGTGACAAAGTTGTGGGTGGCAAAGTTGTGTGTGAAAGTTATATGTCAAAGATAGTGGGTGACAAAGTGGTGTGTGAAAGATGGTGTGTGAAAGATGGTGTGTGACAAAGGTGTGTGAGAGAGGGTGTGTGACAAAGATGGTGTGTCCAAGATGGTGCGTGACAAAGTAGTGCGTGAAAGATGGTGTGTCAAAGATGGTGTGTGAAAGATGGTGTGTGACAAAGTGGTGTGTGAAAGATGGCGTGTGACAAAGATGGCGTGTGAAAGATGGCGTGTGGCAAAGTGGTGTGAAAAATGGTGTGTCAAAGATGGTGTGTGACAAAGTGGTGTGTGAAAGATGGTGGGTGACGAAGATGGTGGGTAAGCGGGGCGGACGGGAGCGGGATACAGAATCAAAAACAAGAACCCCACACAAAGATGTGGGGAAAAAACAACCTTCGTAGCTACGTCTCTTGTGGCGTGCTTCAGAGGCCCAGGAATGGTTGCGAGAAGAACGACGACGGGTCTGGAGACTGAGATTTTTGTTTCCAGTCATGGATTCATTTTGCTCTCAGCATTTGAAGTAGTTGGTGATCGTGCGCACAGCTGTATACGCGTTTGACAGCCCTTGACCGTCTTGACCTTTTTTCCGGATCTTGAACACTTTCTACTTTTTCGCGCGCAATCTTCAGAATGTTTTTGTGTTCGCTCACTGCAATGTTCCCCAAATGCAGGCGTTTGCGTTCGCAGCTACGCAGGGGTTCAATTTTGCCCTCCCGTTCCAGGGGCCGTGACACCACACGGACGCCCCGAGGGACCGCGGCCTCCAAGCCGCAGCCGCTCCGAAACGCCATGGCACCGACGGCCGCTGAGCGCGTGGAGCAGAAGCTTCAGGAAGCGCAGAAAGAAATGGCGGTGGCCCTAGAGGACTTCCGACTATATCATGCCAGAGATAAATATACGGATTTTATTATGACGAAATTTATTCAAACTCGGCATTGCTGGGTTTTGCACCACGGACATTTTGGATGTGACACGTGGGGCATGATGGACAGCAATCAGCTACCGGCCACCAGTTATTGCACTTATGACACTTAATAATACTTCTGATTGACAGGGTTGCAAGTGTTGCCGAACAAGTATCAGCTACTGTGACAGATTCCTGATTGACCATATTTATATCAGAAACACCGTGAACAGTAATATAGTTAATGCGAACAAATGTCAGGTATTTATCAGTGGGGTTCGTTTTTGCAACTTCATGCCGTAGTGGCCCATGACTGCAGAGATGGTTGGGATTTACTTGGGATATGTTGGATTTTATGGCTTCAAGACATAAGAAGTACTTTCTTGTGATTTTGATCACGTTCACCACTTAATTGGTTGATTTGTTCGTGCTCGTTGTGATCATCCCGGTTTGATGAATTTAGATTTCCTCAATTTTCCTGAATTCAATGAATGCAGGGGCCGAGATTCATTCTTGAAGTCAGCCTAGCTCAACGGATGCATGCCTTTGAGGCACAAGCGGTCCTTTCAGTGATGTGCTACGTAAACGGATCCCATCGTTCCCTAGAATCATGTATTCTTAAAAACAAACACAATCCCTGCACAGCCTTAAAGCGCACGCAGGACTTTGAACGCAAGGAGACTGCGAAGTTTCACAAGATTTACGAGTCTTTACAAGACCTCTGCACCAAACAGTTCAAGTTAGAAGAGAACGTTGCAGCCATCGAATCCGACCTGCGAGCCCAGTTCATCCCAATGATGTCCATGAACTCGATGGGTATGGGACCCTTTCCCATGGTGATGTGTGCACCTCAGATGATGCAACAAATGCAACAAATGCAACAAATGCCATACAATCAGATGAATCAGATGAATCAGATGAATCAGATGAATCAGATGACCCCAATGACTCAAATGGGCCAAATGGGCCAAATGGGCGTCATGCCGTTCACCGGCCAAATGGGCCAGATGGGCTCGATGGTCATGCCGATGTCGAGCTTCAAGGAAAGCGATGAGGTCCAAACAGAGAGGACTGAAAGGACCGAGAGTACCGAAGCAGAAACACCTACCGGCTCAGCCGGCTCAACCGATTCCATGAAAGAAGTGAAAGAGGTGAAAGAGGTGAAAGACGTGAAAGAGGTGAAAGACGTGAAAGACGTGGAAGATGGGAAAGTGAGCCAAATTGATGAAATTGGCAGCGTCAAGTGACCTCAGACACGAATACTTGAGTCAGACGAGGCAGACGAGTTTGAGGAGACTCGACTCGTCACAACTCGTCGACGGTGACAGACCGTAAGATGACCTGACCGTCCTTGACCCTCCTCCCAAAAATTCTGTATAGTAGCAGATTCCCTGAGTTGAGCCTTTTTTGAGGCCTAGTTTTGGCAGCACAGATGCTGCGTCAAGCTCTGGGTATTGCAAATTCAATCTCAAAAGTCGTTCACAGCAGCGTCGAAGCGAACGCACAAAAGGAGTGCCTGCTTTTGGATGGGTTTGTCCACAAAAAAGGGGGGATGGGCCCCAAATTTGTGCCACAGCAATTGAACGACCGGGAACATGCGGCTTGAAACCACCAACTTTTCGGGTACCCTATTTTGGGACAAAGTCGTCAAGGTGTCAAGGTGTCAAGGTGTCTGATGGTTTTTCATGGTTTCTGATAGTTTCCATACCTTGACAGTCAGAGACTCAACGATTTCATCCGAAGGGAACAGATGTTTCAACAGCGACCAGGCCGAAGAACGAGCAGAGAAGCGATGGAGACAAAAGTTTGAGGTTTGGCGGGATGGACTCTGGTTGATTTGACGGGGATTCAACTGAAATCAACCCATTTATTGGGGCATAATTGGCACATTGTAGTTATACCATATATATCCATACATCATATGAGTGATATAAGTTATACCCCCCCAGAATTGCCATTGAACAATAGGGAAAGGATGATTCACTATTGGATTTACAGGCACCCTGGTTTTGCTCAAACCTATGTTGGTTGAGGCACCCTTGTTCTGAAGTCTGGCATTTTTTGCACTTTGTTCTCTTTGTTCCACCGATCCTCTTCTATAAGTTTGTCTCGAAACAAGGCGGTACCTCAATTTAGCTTCATCGAAGAAAGGGGAGAATCAACCACTGGATGGAATCGTCACGTCTTTGTTCAAGTGGTACAAGATGAACTGATGTGCATTAATGATCATTAATACATGTTTATGCGGACATCTATCTATATGGATAGACATACACACACATTGCAGTATATTGCATTGCATTGCAATATATGATAAAATCTGTATATAAACATATATACATATAAACATATATACATATATATACACACATATATATATATATTATCAAGCGGGCGCCTCCCCGTCTTCAGTCCATCTGCATTTTGCAACAGGAGTGGCAAGCAACCTATCAACAGGAGATTGCCAACGCACATCCTCAGGTCTGACACCAGGGTCAGTCCGAGTTGGGAAAGAAAGTTACGGTGAAATTTGGCTCAGCAAATTGGTCAGCAATCCTTGTGTAACTCGGTTTGTTCCATGTTTTTTTTTTGTCATGTATTGCTTCATATTTGCCTCATGATCACCTTCACAAGTATTGTTTTGCTGAACTTTTGGACCAACCCGCTTGGAGTTGGTCCAACTGGATGGAACATGTTGGGGTGCCACAAATAACTTATGTCATAACAGCTATGGGACCCATGGTGCCCCTGTGGTCCCACCAAATCCACAACCTGACGGGTTTCCTGATACATATTATTATTATTATCATTATTATTTATTCATTTTTTTTATTTCTTTATTTATTCATATATATATGTATAATATATATATATGTATACATTAACCGAAGGAAATTTAGAAGTCAAACTTCCGACAATATGGACAGATGAAAAAGCAAAGGTGGGAAGAGTCAGAGAAGAGAAGAGAAGAGAAGAAGAAAGAAGATCAGAGAAGAGAAAGAGTCAGAAGAAAGAAGATGCAGGTGCGCGAAAAGGTAGAAAAGTCGCAAAACACCGTGATTTGTGGCTCCGGAGGGTCGAAAGTAGGCTCGCTAAAGCGGCGGGTGCGGAGCCATCTGGCCAGATGAGAGATGAACAATTGCACGCCGTTGTGGCGCGAAGCACATTTCGAAGCCAAAATGTGAAAAACGCCTGGGCACTCTTAGAAGTAGAGATGAAAAAGTGCACGGCGTTGAGGCGCGATTCGAAGTCAAAATGTACAAAGCACACCATTCTCGGTTAGGATGTGCTTTCGTGTGGCAGGCGCAAGGGATTCTGCACTTCGCCACAAGTGAGTAAAACGCAAGGGTTCTGTAGCAGTTTCAAAAACGTTGGCAGGGGTGTGGGGCTTTTGAAGAGGATCTGCAAAGATGCATTTCGCGTGGCAGGCGCAGTACAAGAGACATGTTCATCAGAGATGTTAGGAGGTCCGGGCGCTGATTTCCTGAGAGGGGTTAAATTTTGGAGCATCAGATCTTCAGGTTTGCTGAGATGGTTTTGCGTGACAGAGGTGCAGCACTTCGTATGACCTGGCATCACTTTTTCGTGGCAGGCACAGTGCTTTAGACAGGTGGACTGGAAAAATCGCAAAACGCATTGGTACGAGGCCGTCAGCTCTGCACTCAACTTTCCATTTTTAAAGGAAGTCTCGCAGAATTGTTTCGTTTTTGATGTTGCCAACTTCAAACATTGAGGAAGTCTCGCAGAATTGCTTTGTTTTTGACGTTGTCAGCTTCTCAGAATTGCTTCGTTTTTGACGTTCTCACGTTGAGGATATCTTGCAGAATTGCGGCGTTTTCGATGTTGTCAAGTTCAACAACTGAGGAAGTCTCGCAGAATAGCTTCGTTTTCAAGCTTGCAGCTGGGCAGATAGATAGACAGATAGATAGATAGGTAGATGGATAGAACCGATAGATCGATCGATAGATTAGATTAGATAGACAGATAGGTAGATAGATAGATAACTAGATAGAAAGACAGACAGACAGACAGACAGATAGAAAAATAGATAGACAGATAGATAGACAGGTAAATAAATAAATCGACAAATCGAGAGAAAGATACATGGATAGAAAAATCGATAAGCAGATAGAGAGATGGACAGATAGATAGATGGATCGATAGATACATGGACGAATAGATACATGGATAGAAAGGATGATGGGCAACTCGACAATCCAACTATTTGCCGATCCATCAGGGGAGTCGCTCTGCCATCCATGGTTCACAACAACCAAAGCCTCCTATAGGTTTCCTATTTTTGAAACTTCCGCCACCGCCTTGTGCGGTACTACTGGATATATATACATATATCACATTAATATATATATGTAGATGCATTAATATCTATATGTATACATATATATATATACATTAATATATGTGTATATATATATATTTCTATGTATATATACTTAACAAATATTGTTTTTCCTATGAGAACGATCCTGGTCCCTGACACATCCTGAAACTAATTCTTGAAAACAATATGCGGACCGCTGGAACTTGGGCCCCAGGAGAGCGAAGAGGAAGTGAAGGAAGTGAAGGAAGTGAAGGAAGTGCAGGTGTTTGGGGCGACAATTTCTGGGTTTGGGGATGTCTTCGAGTCAGAAATATTCATAAAATTCTGATGTGGGATTTCCGTAAATTGTACGTATATTGGTTTGGGTGTGGCTGAAGATGTGGAATACCCTTCAAATTGCCATTTGATAGGTAAATGATGATGATGATGATGATGATGATGATGATGACGATTACAATGACGATGATGATGACGATGACGATGATGACGATGATGACGATGATGACGATGATGACGATGACGATGACGATGATGGTGATGATGATGATGATGATGATAAACCATGGGGCCATGGGATTTTGGGATATTCCATTTTCAGACAAACCCATCTATCTTAATCAAACATTTGTTGCGTTGTGATTCCTAGAAATTATCACGTCGGCTTGGGGCGGTTATGCAGTTCAGGCCCCTCAACCAGAGTCCGGCTCCCAGCCATGGTGCTTGCGGAGTTTGGACGAAATCCACGGCTGGTTTGAGTGGGGAAAACATGGGATAGCCATAGGATCAACATCTTGAAACATCTTGAAACATGACAAAACGATCAAAACGATCAAAACGACACACAAAAATCTCCGGCTCAACGGAGATCGGGAGATCGGCCACACCAAGGTCTCCGAAGTTCTTGGACAAGGAGCAGCAGGCTGCGAAAACGACAGCCAGACTCTTGTCCCAAACCCACCGGCATTGAGAAGACTGCTTCGGAAAAGACAGGAACTAAAACATGTGTGACCTGGATTTGTTTGTCGAATCTCCCATAGTTTTGCTCCTTTCTTGTGGTTGGCCCTCCCATTTTGTGCTTATGAACTGTTTTGAAGATCGTTCACCTTTAACTCCCTTTTTGGTGCTGGATGTGTCTTATTTTGGCTTCCATCCTAAGGGAATTGGCGGGACATTTGACTGGTGAAACAACTTTCATGGTCTCATTTGAGTGTGCAGACATTGGTAAACAAAGTGAAGTATAGAAGTGAAACAGTAACAGGTACGATATTTGCAAAGATATCTGTTCCGATTTTTTTTGCAAACATTTTTGACCTGCTCAGTCTCCAGGAAAACACTTGATGTATTCACGCATCATTGGGGTAACGATTTCTTGTCAGTTTACTGTTGTGGCTTCCCCGTGAATTCATGACCAACAAAAAAATATGGGTGTTTGTTAAGAACAAATGGTGGGTTAACCCACCAACCATGTAAAATATAACATATAGCTGGATATTTACCATTATTTATCAATAAAAATTGTCTCTTAAATGGATAATTATTCATATTATATTCATATTATATTCATATTATATTCATATTATATTCATATTATACTCATATTATATTCATATTATATTCATATTATATTCATATTATACTCATATTATATTCATATTATATTCATATTATATTCATATTATATTCATATTATATTCATATTATATTCATATTATATTCATATTATATTCATATTATATTCATATTATATTCATATTATATTCATATTATATTCATATTATATTCATATTATATTCATATTATATTCATATTATATTCATATTATATTCATATTATATTCATATTATACTCATATTATATTCATATTATATTCATATTATATTCATATTATACTCATATTATATTCATATTATATCATATTATATTCATATTATATTCATATTATATTCATATTATATTCATATTATATTCATAGCCAATAAAAAAACAAGACTTCGGGGCCCGAACTCCGATCGGAGGCGTGGAAAACGCGGGCAGAGGCTGCTGAGAAGGAAGTTGAGGAGCTGCGCAGCGAGTGCAAAGGCGCTGAAGAAATAGGGTGGAAACTCGCAGGGAGTGGTGAGTTAAGTTGCAAAAATAGGGACTTTACATGACTTAACTTAAGTAACTTAAGTGCA